TTGCGGTTGGTAACCATGTGCTTCTCGACACATGCAACCTCAACCTCGGTCACCTTCCATTCAAGTTACGACCTCGCTTCTGCGGACCTTTCCTCGTAGAAGAGCAGGTCACTCCAGTCACATTCCGCTTGCGCCTACCAGCTTCTTGGAAGATTCATAACGCCTTCCACGTGCAGCTTCTTAAACACTATAAAGAGCCAAATAATCTGTACACGGGACGCCAACCTCCGCCGCCGTCTCCAGTCCTCGTGAATGATGAACTTGAGTACGAGGTTGAATCTGTGCTTGCACATCGTCGTCGTCGGCATGGCGCCCTGGAGTTTCTCGTACGCTGGAAAGGCTATGATCCTTCTGAAGACAGCTGGGTCTCTGAAGAAGACATGAGTAACGCCCAACGTTCTCTCCGCGACTATCTTGTCAAGCAGGGTGTTACATCCACCACCCAGCTTTGAGGGGGGGAAGTGTGAGAGTACGCCGACGTTCGACATATTTCTCATTTCCATATTTTTACTCCATCTTATTCTCCTTATTTTCCTCTTTCATTTGCACTTTATTTCACCTCAATCGGACTACTATTCTATTTTCTAGAGCTTTCCGATTATTTCACTTATTTGGTATTTTCGGCACCGACATTTACATTATACGGCACCGACAGCACCGACAGTGGTGTACAAGGCGTAATCTCGCCATAATCCGAAGTGCCAATGGGCTTGCGTGCTTATGCACACTTGTGATTATCTATTCTAGAAGAGCGCGTTCCCGAAGGTTCGGATTATCTGTTGTTTCTATGTATTTCTGAGTATAAATACGCCTTGTACTCACCTTTAGTGCAACATTCTCGAGTGGAAATTCGATCCTGTGACACCCTCCGCCTCCTCCACAGCCTCCACCGCCGCCCCCACTTTCCCCTCCACCACCCTTGCCCCCCTTGCCCTTGCTATTGTGGCGCCTCCCACTAGGAGCAGACGCAGCCCCGAACTCCGTGCCAACGAGGTCGACAGCAGCAGCAGAAGCAACAGAGGGGAGTAGGGGGACAGGGGAACACCCCTCAAAGAAAGGGGCGCAAGGGTCGCCGCGAGAAGCACCTACAGCAACGATACTCTTCTCAGCTGCAGTGAGGCGCTCCTCTAGCAGGTCAACGGTGAGCTCGGTGGGGCAAAGGGAGAGAAAGTGGTCCCTGACTGAAGCAAGGGAGTTAGGAAGGCGGGTGACTAGGTAGTAAAGGGTGATGTACATGGGGGGAGGGTTCTTGGCACAGAACTCAGTGGGAAGCGCAGAGCGGTAGCAGGCGTCACTAGTGCGGAGGTGAGTAATGAGGTCAGCGACTGTGGCAAAGGCGGCAAGGTCAGGGAACAGGTATGGCAGCATGAGGTTGCTGAGGGCAGCAGTGGCAGGGGAGGAGTAGCGTGCTACGACAGCGTCATACAAAGACTTAGTAGTCTTGTACTGGCCAAAGTGCGCGCGCTCAGAAGACGGCAGGTGACTACGAACAGCAAGGCGAGCAACAGCGTCATGAGTGGTCCACTGCGAGCAAACCGTACTATCAGCAGTGGCAGCAGGTGCAGGAGAGACACTGGACGTGTGATCGAAAAGGGACACTCCGTCTTCAGAGTCACACTGAAAAAAGAGCTGCAGGTCGTCAACCCACACGTCAAATTCAACCGCACGCCCCTCAGCATCAAAGGTAAGAATAGTAGGGCTAGCCATAGCGGCAGTAGCAGCAGTGGCAGCAGAAACAGCAGTAGCAGCAGGAGCAGCGCGAGCAAGGCAGTGCGGCTCAGTAGGGCGGCGCGGCTCGGCAGGGCGGCGCGGCTCGGTAGGGCGGCGCGGCTCGGCTGGGCGGCGCGGCTCGGCTCCTGGCGGCGCGGCGCAGCTGGGCGGCGCGGGTGCTTACCAGGGGCGGGTGCAGGGCAGGGCCGCAGCTGGCAGTTAGGTCAGGGCCGTGACTGGGGCGGCAGCAGGGCAGGACCGCTACTTGGCGGTGGTAGAGCAGGGCCGCGACAGGGCGGCAGCAGGGCAGGGCCGCGGCTGGATGGCAGGGTAGGGCAGGGCCGCGACAGCAGAAGCCTCGACGGCAGGGGCCGCGACGGCAAGGGGCCACGACGGCAGGGGGGGGGGGGGAGGGGGGGGGGGGGGCGACGGCAGGGGCCGCGACAGCAGAGGCCGTGACTGCAGGGGCCGCGACGGCAGGGGCCGCGACGGCAGGGGCCGCAACTGCAGGGGCCGCGACAGCAGGGGCCGCGACTACAGGGGCTGCGACAGCAGGGGGGGTGACGGCAGGGGCCGCGACGGCAGGGGATGCGACGGTAGGGGCCGCGACGGGCCGTTAGGGCAGGGCCGCGACGGGCCGAGAAGGCAGGGCCGCGACGGGCGGCTCTAGGGCAGGGCGCGCGACGGCGCAGGTGAGGCAGGCGCGAAGCGCACTTCGGGCAGGGCACCTAAAAAAAACGTTCCCACGAGGGAACCTGCTCATAATACCATGTCAGAATAGTGAAGGAAGGACCGACTGAACTAGCAAGCCGGTGGGTACAAGTAGGAAACCTAAAAGTGTTGTACCCTATATGAACTACCCCACTACAGCCTAGAAAGACTATAGCATATATGTTTGACATGGCCATCCCCAGAATCGACACGCCGAGCACCAGTCCCACCGCTACCAGTCCCACCACCTTCACTGCCGCCACTCCCACCGCTGCCTCCACCACCACCACCAGAGCCCCCACTCCCGCCAACAGTCGCACCGCCGCCACCACCTCCACTGCTGCCCCCACCACCACTCCCGCTGCCACCTCCACCACCGCCGCTGCCACCTCCACCACCCCGGCCACCCTTGCCCTTGCTGCTGCGGCGCTTCGCACTAGCAGAAGCAGCCCCGACGTCCTCAGGAACAGAGACGTCTGCAGCAGCAGCAGAGGCGTAGGAGGGGGCAAGGGGGGAGGGGGAACACCCCTCAAAGAAGGGCGGACGCGGAGTGCCACAAGCAGCACCTACAGCAACTGCACTAGTCTCAGCTGCGAGGAGATGCTTCTCGAGGAGGTCAACAGTGAGGGAGGTGGGGTCAAGAGAGAGGAAGTGGTCCCTGACAGAGCGAAGAGAGTCAGGGAGGCGGGTGACTATAAAGTAGAGAGTGATGTACATCAGGGGCGGGTTCCTGTCAAGGAACTCAGCAGGAACGGCAGCGCGGTAGCGAGCGTCACTAGCGCGAAGGTGGGAAACAAGGTCCTCGACTGTGGTAAAGGCGGACAGCTTGGGGAACAGGTAGGGCAGAAGAAGGCGGCCTAGAGCAGCAGTGGCAGGGGAGGAGTAGCGAGCGACTACAGCGTCGTTCAGTGCCTGCGCTGTCCTGTGCTGTCCGAAGTGAGCGCATTCAGCTAATGGCAGGTGGTTGCGAATGGCTAAGCGGGCAGCAGCGTCACGAGTAAGCCACTGTGAGCGAGTCGAACTGTCAGCTGTGGCGGGAGGGGCAGTAGCAGCGCCTGACGCTAGGTCAAACAGCGAGACACTGTCCTTAGAATCGCTCAGTAGGTACACCTGCAGGTCGTCTAGCCACGTGTCAAACTGAACTGGTCTGCCCTCATGATCAAACGCGAGAACCCGAAGCAAAGCCATAGCTGTGCAGCACGCAGGATAGCAGTAGCAGCAGTAGCAGCAGCAGTAGCAGCAGTAGCAGCAGCAGTAGCAGCTGTAGCAGCAGCAGTAGCAGCAGTAGCAGTAGCAGCAGTGATAGTGGAGGGGGAGGGGGGGGGGGGGGAGGGGGGGGGGGGGGGGCTGGGCTAGGGACGGGGCCGGGCGCGGGCTATGTACTGGGCCGGGCGCTGGGCGAGGGACGGGGCCGGGCGCTTGGCTAGGGACGGGGCCGGGCGCGGGCTAGGTACGGGGCCGGGCGCTGGGCTAGGTACGGGCCGGGCGCGGGCTAGGTACGAGGCCGGGCTCTGGGCGAGGGACGGGGCCGGGCGCTGGGCAGGTACGGGGCCGGGAGCGGGCTAGGTACGGGGCCGGGCGCTGGGCTAGGTACGGGCCGGGCGCGGGCTAGGTACAGGGCCGGGCGCTGGGCGAGGGACGGGGCCGGGCGCTGGGCAGGTACGGGGCCGGGCGCGGGCTAGGTACGGGGCCGGGCGCTGGGCTAGGTACGGGCCGGGCGCGGGCTAGGTACGGGGCCGGGCGCTGTGCGAGGGACGGGGCTGGGCGCTGGGCGAAGGACAGGGCCGGGCGCGGGCTAGGTACGGGGCCGGGCGCGGGCGAGAGACGGGGCCGGGCGCGGGCTAGGTACGGGCCGGTCGCGGGCTAGGTACGGGCCGATCGCGGGCTAGGTACGGGCCGGTTGCGGGCTAGGTACGGGCCGGGCACGGGCTAGGTACGGGCCAGGCGCGGGCGAGGTACGGGGCCGGGCGCTGGCGAGGGACGGGGCCGGGCGCGGGCTAGGTACGGGCCGGTCGCGGGCTAGGTACGTGCCGGGCGCGGGCTAGGTACGGGGCCGGGCGCGGGCGAGAGACGGGGCCGGGTGCGGGCTAGGTACGGGCCGGTTGCAGGCTAGGTACGGGCCGGGCACGGGCTAGGTACGGGCGGGGCGCGGGCAAGGGAGGGGGCCGGGCGCGGGCTAGGTACGGGCCAGTCGCGGGCTAGGTACGGGCCGGGCGCGGGCTAGGTACGGGGCGGGGCGCGAGGCTAAGGGCCGATGGGGTCAAGCGCGGGCTAGGAACGAGGCCGGGCGTGGGGCTAGGGGCCGACGGGCCGCGGGCTAGGGGTCGACGGGCCGCGTAGGCTAGGAGCGATGGGCCTAGGGGGGGGTACTGGCAGCGTAGCAGGTGGTGGGCCCAAGGAACCTGCTCTGATTCCATGTGAAAGGTACGAACGAGAATGGATGAACTAGCAAACAGATGGGTACAAGTACTAACCCTAATTGGGTTGTACCCCTTATGGGCTACCCCACTACAGCCTACACAAATGTATAAGCTATAATGTTCTGACACCTTCCGCCCCCGGCAGACAAGTATTTCCTGATGGATAACAGCACGCGGCGCGAGACGTATAATCCGTTTAACGGCTTCTGCGGGACGAAGGCCAGCTCGCAGAACTCCGTCATCGCCACAGCGCCCCCCTCGCTCTGCCCGCTGCTGCCCGCGTGCCTGCGCGCGCCCTTCCGCACGGAGCTGTTGGTGGCATCGTCGAAGTTCGACCGCAATCCCAAGGTGTGCCGCACTGCAAAGCACGGCACGGCACGGCACAGCACAGATTTTGAACCCGACCGCAAACACAAGGCACAATGTCTCTCACTCTGCCGCACGCCACTGCACGGATCACTTGAACCCGACCCACGAACTCCCTCACTCGGTCCTTGCTCACTCATGAGTGACTGTCTCTCCAGCGCCTTTCATGCCGCACTGCTCCTTGCCCTTCCCACCCCTCCACCACTATCCCCGCCCTCCCCATTCGCCATCCTTGCTCCCATCCCCAATGCTGCCCATCCCAGAAGCGGCGGTCGGAAGGTAGCATGGTGCCACGGCAGGTCAGCCAGGAGGAAGCAGAGCAGGTGAGAGAGCGGTTCACAGGCACCTTGTCAACACTGTGCCATGCCCGCCTCCCCGCTCACTCCGCTCTGCTGTCATCGTGCCCTCGTCTCCCTTCCAATTCAGTCGCCGCCTCAACTCACCAGTCCACGGTGCTTCTCGTTCCCCTCACCTCTTTCCCTCCCCCCCTCACCTGCCCGGCGCTGCGCCCAGCTGCATGCCCTCAAGGCGCACAGGTTCTACCTGCTCCTCAACCACCCACTTGCGCACCGATGCCTCGCAGAACACAGCAAGCCCCTCAGACCGAAATTCTGGCTGCTACTCTCCCTCGCCCTCATCTCCTCCTCCGACCCCTCCCACACCCCACGTCCTCGTTCCGCCCCCCTCGCCTCCCCCTCTCCCACCTCCCCTCATGTGCCTGCCGCCCTGCCTGCACTCGCCACTGCACCTCCTCCTCGTGTGACGAACGCAAGGGAGCTGTACTCTCACGTGAAGGCATACCTGTCCGGGCGAGCTGGGGGGAATGACAGTGGGGGGGATGGCGGCGGGGAGGGCAGTGGGGATGGCAGTGGGGAGGAGGAGGTGCATTGCGTGTGGCGTGTGGTACGGTCATGCGGGGTGGAGTCAGCAGAGGGGCTGAGTGGTGTGGTGGATGAGAGGGGGTGGACCACCATGCATGTGGCTGCTCGCAATGGTGACTCCCCCGTGGTCAGTCCCATCTCACATCACATGCATGCATCTTCCCACTGGCACCCGTGCATCAGCTCCCACACACCCCCACCTTCCATCATCATGTGTCTTCACACTCCCCAGCGAAGCCTTGTTCCACGCTCACACCGGCGCCCTTTTTTCTCCCCCCCGCTGTTCCTCCATGCATGTGGCTGCAGCTGCAGGCGCTGTTGCGCATGGGCATGCCGGCCAGGGTGTGCAGCACACGCAACGCCACCACGCCACTGCACGTGGCGGCGTATGGCAGCCACGTGGGCTGCATGCGCCTGCTGGTGCAGCAGCATGGGGCTGACATCCGCACTCGCACTGCTGGCTGTGAGTGCCTGGTGGCTGTGACTGGTCTCACACTAGAATGGTTGAAAGTGCTTTGCTTGCATCATTCTGCACCCAGCGTCCTTTCTTTGCTCTCCTGCCTTCACCTTGACCCTCTCCATCCTGCTGTCCTCCCGCATTGCTTCCAAAGCTGCTTTCGTCCCCTGCCTATCCGACCGCCTCCTGTCATCCACCCTCCACTCTCCCAGGGACTCCGCTGCACAACGCAGCGAGCCACTAGCAGTGGGACACAGTGAGATGGCTGGCACAGCGGGGGATAGAACCAGCAGAGGTGGAAGCAGCCGGTGCCAACCCCAAGGTGCACCTCAAGGCGCACCTCATGGAAAGGGCGGTGCAGATCGTGCGGGAGGAGCATGGATGGGGGGACGCGCCTGGTGTGGATGGATTTCTTGTGCTTGATGATCACCATGGTGCGGTGCCTGACTTCCTGCTCCCACTGCTCAGCGGTTAGAATGCACGAGGGAGGGAGAGGCAGAACGAGCAGCAGGGCCCAAAATTGGTTTAGGCCCACCCTGACAAATCAGGGTTGCAGCTCCTCTTTATCCTGACCCGTTGTGTAAAATTTTCCATACCCTGTTTGCATCAGGGTAAATCAAGGATTTCGGCATGGTAGCCTAGTTTGAGCAGGGTATTTCTACAGATAGCCTGTTTCCAATACTACTTTGTCTGTTACGTAATTTCTTCAGTATTAATAAGGTTGCACAAACATCACAACTACTCAGTTGATGCGTAGGACAACAAGAAGCTGTCCTTGACGCGCAAATCTGCTCACGTGGTAGTGGGTGTGGCGTGGTTTGGCTCGATGCAGGGGTGCATTGGCAGTCCTGTGGGTAAGACAGCCAATAAGGCCACATGACGAGCCGCCGACAACATTTCACGGTTTCCCGCTTGTGGTCACCAGCGACAACAGTGCCAGTGTGAGAGTGGGACATTTTGGCACCATGCGGAGAATGGGCTGATCCGCGTTTAAAACCCGCGTCTCATATTTCTTGTTTCCAACCAAAGGTAATACGCTTGAAACCGGGTAACCAAACAATCACTCGCAAAACACTCGCGTTTGGTTTGGCGCAGGTGTGATTGGCTGCAAACCAAACAGTTTGGTAGAGGCAGGTGCCTGACTACCAAGCCGGGTTTGCGAGAAACAGGCAACTGCATGTGCGACGGACTGAGAATGGGACGCACAGCCCACAACCAAGCGTATTACAGAGCTGGAAAAATATGAGACTGCAAACCCAGACAGGTTGTAGGTGGAGAAACATACTCGCACCGATTTCTCTAGCGACTAAGTCTCATTTCAGCATCTTATTTTCCCTAGGTTTGTTCCAGCGTCAAACGTGACAATACCTTGTACCTCTCGTTGTCGTTGTTTATTTTTATCTTTGGTCACTCCGCGCCTGCATTTGCTTTTACGCACGTATAGTCCGTCCATCGCCAGAGCTGGTCCTCATTATTGCAATAAGATGCACCACTCTATTTGGACCAAGGTGTATTGCAGTAACGCTCCCCCCTGTCGAATTTGGACGGAAGGGACACGACGGAAAGGCAGCAGTTAGGACGAGATAGGAAGCGACGCGACGGAAAGGCAGCAGTTAGGACGAGATTGGAAGCGATGCGACGGAAAGGCAGCAGTTAGGACGAGTTAGGAAGCGACGCGACGGAAAGGCGAGGGTTAGGACGAGATAGGAAGCGACGCGACGGAAAGGCGAGGGTTAGGACTGGATAAGCAGCGACGCGGCTGAAAGGCGAGGGTTAGGACTCGATAAGCAGCGACGCGACATTACAGGAAGCGACGCGACATGGCTGGAAGCGAGGAGAAAGGGATGGGCGTGATGCGAGGGTAAGAGGAGAGTCGCGAAGGGGTGTGGCGGGACGGTTGGGAGGGAAGGGACTGGAAGGGAGGTAAGGGGTGAGAAGGACCTCCGGGATGCGACGAGAAGGGGAGGGGTGGGACGGTGCGTGAAGGGGAACCGGAAAGGGTAGGAAGGGATACTGTGGGATGCAACGAGGAGTGGAGAGGAGAGAAGTGGAGAGGAGAGGAGAGGACAGGAGGGGACGCTACTGGACACGACGGGACGGGACGGGAACGGGGGGGACCTGATGGGACGTGAGGGGACGCGACGGGAAAGGACGGGACGGGACGGGACGGGACGGGACGGGAAGGAAACGAGACGAGAGGGGACGGGACGGGACGGGACGGGACATGACGGAACGGGATGGGACGGGACATGACGGGACGGGATGGGACGGGATGGGATGGGATGTATGACGGGACGGAGCGGGAGGGAACGCGACGGAGCGGGACGGGACTGGCGGGAGGAAACGTAGGAGACGCGCCGATTGTCAAACATTATACATGTTCATATTGTGTAGGCTATAGTGGGTTTAGCCTTAGGGGGTACAACATTGCTAGGGTTTCCTACTTGTATCACCCTGCTGCCTAGTTTCACACATTCTCGTTCAGTTCTACATTCTAACATGGTATCACGAGCCTAGGTTGCTACCTAGGACCGCTTTCTCCTACGGGCCCACTATTCCGCTAGAAGCGCCCTCGTGCGCCCTACCTTACGTGCGCCCTCGTGCGCCTTTCTATACTCGTGCGCCCTCGTGCGCCCTCGTGCGCCCTACCTTACGTGCGCCCTCGTGCGCCCCCGTGCGACCCGCCCTTCGGTCTGCCCGCGTGCCGTCCTGCAGCCCTCGCGCTGCCTCCTGCAAGCTAGTACGGCCCTCGAGCCGCCCCTGCAGGTCCGTCAGGCCCCCGAGCCGCCTCTGCAGACCCGTCAGGCCCCCCCGAGCCGCCTCTGCAGGCCCGTCAGGCCCGAGAGCCGCCCCTGCAGCCAGCGCGCTGCCCTGCCGAGCCGCGTGTCGCCCGTGGGCGCTGCCTCTGCCCCGTCGCGCTGCCCTGAGGAGCCGCGCGCGACCCCCGCTATCCCGTCGCGTCGCCCTGGGGAGCCGCGCTCGGCCCCCGCTGCCCCGTCGCGACGCCCTGGGAAGCCGCGCTCGGCCCCCGCTGCCCTGTCGCGACGTCCTGGGGAGCCGCGCTCGGCCCCCGCTGACCCGTCGCGACGCCCTAGGGAGCCGCGCGCGACCCCCCGCTGCCCCGTCGCGACGCCCTGGGGAGCCGCGCGCGCCCCCCCCCCCCCCCCCACTGCCCCGTCGCGGCGCCCTGGGGAGCCGCGCGCCGCCCCCCCCCCCCCCCCCTCGCTGCTGCCCGAGCCACCCTGCAGCCCGCGAGCCGCCTCTACAGCGCCGAGTGCGCTCTGCCAAACCCTAAAATAAATAATTAATTATTTAAAAAAAAAAAAAAAAAAAAAAAGGGAGCAGCTGCCCCTGGCCCCTGGAGCAGCCGCCCCTGGAGCAGCCGCCCCTGCAGCACCCGCCCCTGCAGCAGCCGCCCCTGCAGCAGCTGCCCCTGCAGCAGCCGCCCCTGGACCTCTGCAGCCGCCCCTGGCCCCTGGAGCAGCCGCCCCTGCAGCTGCCGCGGAGCCCTCGCCCTGCAGTGGTAGCGGCCTCGCCGTTACCACCGTCGTACGCCTGCCCTTCTCGCCACTGGTGAGCACTGCCCTGCCCGTATTGCTGTTACTGCTGCTCCTGCTGCTACTGCTCTTTCTACTTCTACTGCTGCTCCTGGCGTGGCCAGATGCAGCTCCAGCGCCGTCCGCGTGAGTCCCTCACGCCCCAACAGCTTCGTGAGTGGTATGCTGGTTGGGGCTGTAGGGGTGGCCGCGCTGCTGCTACTACTACTGCTGCTACTACTGCTTCTGCTGCTCCTGGCGGTGGCCAGATGCAGCTCCCGCGACGTCCGAGTGAGTCCCTCACGCCCCAGCAGCTTCGTGAGTGGTACGCTCAGCGTGGAGGGTCACGGGGTACTGCTCGCTGCCCGTACGTCATTCGCACTGGTGCTCGGACTGGTCAGCCTTGCGGGACGTTTGGTCACACAGAGTCCCGCTGCTTCGCCCGTCTGAGCGACGCCTGGCGTACAGAGTTTGGCGACGCGGCTAAGCTCCCCGACTGGGTGGAGCTGCTTAGGCAGAGGGTAGATATCTATGCTCTTGACTATGATGCTATCCTCACTGCCATGTATGCATTTCCTACTAGTGCTGAGAGTGCCTGTCACCTGTGTGTGCCGCCTGACCCCAGTATCCAGTCTGCTGCTCTAGGTACTGGTGAGGCTGCTGCACTAGGTGCTCGTGTGTCTGTTGCCCCAGGTGCTGGTGAGGCTGCTGCTCTAGGTACTCGTGAGTCTGCGCCCTCTGGTACTGCGTCTACTGAGGCACTGCACACCTTCACACTGGACTCAGGCGCTTCCCGCTGTTTCTTTCGTGACCGCACTGCCCTTGAGCAGCTTGCTCGGCCGGTTGCAGTCTCCCTCGCTGACCCCTCTGGGGGTCCGGTCATTGCGACCTCCTCTACTGTTCTCCCTTGTCATGCGGTCCCGTCGGGCACTCTGTCAGGTCTCTACCTCCCCTCGTTCTCTACAAACTTGGTGGCGGGTAGTGCGCTCCAGGACGGGGGTGTCCACCAGTTTACCCCTGCCTACGAGCGTGTGACACACTGCACGTGCGCTCGGACGGGCCGCCACCTGGCTACCTTCACTCGGCAGCCGGGGTCGGACCTGTACACACTGACCACTGAGTCCCCACAGGTAGCTGCGTCTGCGTCTGCGTCGGGTCAGCTGTCTGCCCCCTGCTCGTGTCGCTCTCTGGCACACGAGACTGTCCTCTGGCACCACCGTCTTGGTCACCCGTCAGTGCAGCGCCTTCGTGCCATGCACAACCAGTACCTTGTCTCTGGTCTTCCCAGGGTTCTCCCTCCACTCCCACCCTCGCCTGCTCCTCCCTGCCTTCCCTGTGTCGAGGGGCGGCAGCGCGCCGCTCCTCACTCCTCCTCGTTTCCCCCGACGACTGCTCCCTTGCAGACGCTCCACATGGACGTGTGGGGCCCAGCCCGCGTCCGTGGACAGGGTCAGGAGAGGTACTTCCTGATCGTTGTTGACGACTACTCGCGCTACACCACGGTCTTCCCCTTGCGCACCAAGGGTGAGGTCCCTGGTGTTTTGATCCCTTGGATCCGCGCTGCTCGTCTCCAGCTCAGTGAGCGGTTCCACTCGGACTTTCCTGTCCTGCGTCTGCACTCTGACAGAGGTGGTGAGTTCTCCTCTGACCTCTTGGCAGCCTACTGTGCGGAGCACGGCATCCGCCAGTCGTTCACGCTTCCGGCCTCTCCACAGCAGAATGGGGTTGCTGAGCGCCGCATTGGTTTGGTCATGGAGGTCGCTCGTACCTCCTTGATCCATGCGGCTGCCCCCCACTTTCTGTGGCCGTTTGCGGTCCGATACGCTGCGCATCAGCTCAACCTCTGGCCCCGTGTCTCCGTTCCGGAGACTTCGCCGACACTGCGTTGGATGGGAGAGGTTGGCGATGCGTCGCGTTTTCGGGTCTGGGGATCCCGAGCTTTTGTTCGCGATACGTTCGCGGACAAGCTCTCCTCCCGCGCTGTTCCCTGTGTCTTCCTTGGCTTTGTCCCGGACGCGTCTGGTTGGCAGTTTTACCACGCCACCTCGCGCCGTGTCCTGCCCTCTCAGGACGTCACTTTTGACGAGTTTGTGCCCTACTACCGCCTCTTCCCCTACCGCACTGGCCCGCTCCCCCCCCCGCCTCTCTTCCTCGCGCCAGGTGCTGCTGTGGTAGACCCCCTCCCCCCTCAGGGTGCCGCTCCCTCAGGTGTGTCCCAGATAGACCCGGTTGAGCCTGTCGAGGTAGCTGTCGACTCTCGTCCTGCCAGGACTCTCGAGCCCCATACCCCTTTCCCTTCCCACATCCCCTTTCCTTAACCCCATCCGCCTTCCCCTCCCCCATCCCCCTTCTCTTTCCCCATCCCCCTTCTCTTTCCCCATCCCCCTTCTCTTTCCCCATCCCCCTTCTCTTTCCCCATCCCCCTTCTCTTTCCCCATCCCCCTTCTCTTTCCCCATCCCCCTTCCCTTCCCGCATCCCCTTTCCCTTTCCCCATCCGCCTACCCTTTCCCCATCCCCTTCTCTTTCCCTATCCCCCTTCCCTTCCCCCATCCCCCTTCCCTTCCCCCATCCCCCTTCTCTTACCACATCCCCTTTACCTTCCCCACACCCTCCTTTCCCTTCCCCCATCCCCCATTCCCTTTACCCATCCCCCATCCCTTCCCTGCATCCTCCTTTCCCTTCCCCCATCCCCCTTCCCTTCCCCCATCCCCCTTCCCTTCCCTCATCCCCCTTTCCCTCCCCCTCTGCTATCACCTTCTTTTCTCTTTCTGCTACCACCTCCCTTCCCCCTCTGCTGTCACCTCTCATCCCGTGATACCACCTCCCTTCCCCCTCTGCTGTCACCTCTCATCCCGTGCTACCACCTCCCTTCCCCCTCTGCTGTCACCTCTCATCCCGTGCTACCACCTCCCTTCCCCCTCTGCTCACCTCTCATCCCGTGCTACCACCTCCCTTCCCCCTCTGCTGTCACCTCTCATCCCGTGCTACCAGCTCCTCCCATGAAGCCAACACTTCGCCAACCCTTTCACCTTTTTCCCCTGCTTTCACACACTATTCCGCCAAGCAATCACTTCCCCAATTCCTCCCTGCCTCCTTTCTTTCCCCATGCCATGCCTCCCCTCGCTTTCCTCCCATGCCTCAGCTCTGTTTTCCCACTTGTCTCCCCTCTGCTTCCCCCCTTTCTCCCCCCTGTTGATGTGCTTGTTCCAGCATGGCGCCACAAAGAACCAGTTCATCCTTAGTTTTGTGACTAATGCGTAGATTCAAAACTCAGTTGTTGGCAAAGTAGGCTTGCCAAACCCGCCTAGTCTCTTGTCTTTCATAGCATATTACACTTGATGCTCAGATGGTTTCAATGCATCCATTTAGTTTGTAGCAATTGAGCACAGCACTGACCTAAAGAACTTATTGAATGTATACACTTGTGCAATATCTTGAAGATACGGGGTACATCTCTCCTCTAGCGCCAATCTCGCCTTCGTGCATCTGGCCGTGCATCTGCTGCTTGCCTGTCCCTTCCGTTCCGCCAGGCTCGCCTGGGACTAGCTTAGTCCTGCTTGTAACTGGAACAAAGGGAGAGGTGACGGGAGGAAGGAAGGCTCCAGGGATGAGAAAAAGGGCAGTTGAGATGTGAAGGAAGAGAAAGGTGGTAAAAAGGGGGAACGGGGAGAGCAAAAGAGGGTAGGGGTGATGCAAGGAAGGGAGGCTGGCACGCAAGATGGGAAGGAAGGGAGGGCAAATGAGAAGAATGGGAGGGGATGAGAAGGGAAGGGACAGGAGATGGGAAGGCATAGTAGGGGAAATGAAAAAAAAGGAGGGCAGATGGAGAAGGAAAGGGCTCTACACACTCATGGCCCTAAACACAGCACTCAACCTCCCCACCTCCTACTCCCACTCCCCCTCCCCTCTCTCACCATCGCCCACACCCACACCCTCCTCACCTTCCCCTGCTTACATACACCTCAGTTCGGGCAGAAAAGCTAGCAGGGTGAGCGCGTGGCGAGGGCTGGCTGGCAAGCAAGCCTTGCTGCAGACATTAGGAAAGTTGGTAGGGGAGGGGGTGAGGGTGAGTTAACAGGGAGAGGAAGGGGAGAGAGGGAAAGGGAGAGGGTGAAGGGGAGAGAGGAAAGGGAGAGAGGGAAGGGGAGAGAGGGAAGGGGAGAGGGTGAAGGGGAGAGAGGAAGGGGAGAGAGGGAAGGGGAGAGAGGGAAGGGGAGAGGGTGAATGGGAGAGAGGAAAGGGAGAGAGGGAAGGGAGAGAGGGAAGGATGTGTGTTGTGTCTCGAGGCGCAGATGGCAGTTGGGGGAAAGGGAGGTGTGAGCACCGGGATGTGAAGGCTGAGGGACGTGTGGCAAAATGACTTGTGCATTTTTATGCACATGCACTGAATGATAAGAATACAAACAGGTGCACACCCGCACGCACGCACGCACGCGCACGCACGCACGCATGCACGCTTGCTCTCACGCACGTGCACGCAAGCACGCACGCACGCACGCACGCGCGCGCACGCACGCATGCACGCACGCACGCGTACGCGCACGCAAACGTGCACGCACACGCGCACACACGCACGCCGCACGCGCACGCGCAAGCGCACGCACGCGCACGCTCGCGCACGCACGCACGCACGTTCGCACGCACACAAGCTTTCACACACACCCCACACACATGCCACTCGCACACAGACCTTTCACGCAATCGCGCTTGTCGTAGATGGACGACCCGAGCGCATTCTGAAATGCGACATCACCTCTCCGGGTTCCACAGCTGTAAATAGAAGAGTAAGAACGCATTTCGGAATGTTACGGACTGGCTACCTCGTAACAAGCGATGGCGTTGCGACCGTTCCCGACATTGGACGATTCCTTAGTCGCCAATTAGTGCGTTATCCGCAACCAGAATTTGTTCGCAAGTCCCCTGTTATCTGGTCCGAAATGGTCTCTAATATCACTGTTTTAGCGACTAAGGCCAGCATCTTGATGTGGAGGTACATACGTAGGAACCATCCTAAGCGGAGGTTGTAAGACTGACAGGTGAGAGTTTTGCTCTGCTTTTCCTGGTGAACGTGGGCGAATTGCGTCTTGTCGTTTCAGTTGGTCGCAGGGAACTGCCGGATCTGTTTTTTAGGTGTGGGAGCTTTCCATGCCTGAGGGGCTCGTTTGGTTTTTGCGTAGACGAACTGAGGTGTCGTCTGTGTTTTCCAAACTGCTCGTCACAAATCTCGCCTATCGTTACCCAATCACAGGCGCTTTAGCCCAACCAAGTGTAATACACTAGGAAATATGAGACCCGGGTTTTAAAATAGTTTCGGTAACTGGGTAGTCGTCACACAACCTTGATTCCGTCAGGCTAACTAAAAATCCAATCAGGGGAAAAAAACACCGACACTTTTTGGGATGGGGTAAGAATCTACGAAGCCTGATTTAGAAAGGGTAACTCTGAAAAAGCGGCCCACCCCCAGGGTAATCAGGGCGTTTTACCCTGATATTTTGGGCCCTGACGAGCAGATAATGAGCAGCACAACATTTGAGATACTTCTCAAACACACGTGTACCACATACGGTAATGCCTGGAAACTATATTGAAAGGAGTGGTACGGTACGGTAGTTTTCATGGTTACTGTTGACACATCATTTGCCTGATGCCTGCACAAGAGGGATGATCTGTTCGACAGATCTGGGGGCCGTTAGCAGCCGAACGAGCCGTGTTACATGGCTGCTTGATGCACGTGAACGGCGAGATGGCGTTTCGTGGGTCCCCCTCGTCCTCCGCACTCTCCTCACCGCCACCGAGGCTCCGACACCCGCTGCGTCGCGGCTTATCAACCACTGCACGGGCGCGAGGGAGCAGGGAGAACGGAGGGAGGATGTATCAAGGCGGGATGCGCCATGCAGGCATGCATGAGGATTCCCGAACGGGCCACCGTTGCCCAGCTACCTCCCAGCAGTGACGGTTGCGAGCCTAGAGCACTGTCTCCTGTCCTTTCGCGGCCACACAGACATGGCCTAAGAAGACGCGATTTAGCAACTGGCTAGTCTGATGGCGCCCATTTCAAAGGGCTTCCTTCGTCTCCTCCCCGCGCCCGGCACTTCCGCTGTTACCACTTGCCACCACGCCCCACTCGCTCACCGACTCGTGACGACAGCATCGCGAAGGTCGCGCGCGGCAGAGAATGGCGGCGAGCCGTGAGAGACGCGCGCTGCCGCCCCCCGCGGATTCGGGCTCGCCGCGAAGAGCCGAGGAGATTGGCGGGAGCGGTGCGCCGCCTGGCGTCGGCGCAGCCGTTGACGCGCGCCTGCTGAGAAGCTTCGACGGTCTCGCGCGCGACCTCGACCACGCGATTCGCACGGCAGCAACGCCGTCGCAGCAGCACGACGCCATCGCGACGTGCCTGCTCATCGCCAACACGCTGTGCGACTGGCCGGAGAGCGACGAGCCACGGTCGCGAGAGGCGTTCGGCTTCCGCGTGCTGCGCAGCATGCCGTGCGCCGCCGAGTCGCTGCTGCTGCGAGGCAAGCGCGGGGGTGTGGGGGGATGAGGGGGGGGAGAGGTGCGCGGGGAGGGGCGTGGGAAGGGGCGTGGGGCAGCAGTGTGGACGAGCAGGGGAAGAGCTAGCAGCCCTGGCGTGGGTGCGGTCGACCATGCGCTGCTCGCCATCTCCCGCCGCTGCTGCCCTCATTCCCCAAAACAAGCTCTCCGCTCATGTCCGCTCGCCATCTCCCGCCGCTGCTGCCCTCATTCCCCAAAACAAGCTCTCCGCTCATGTCCGCTCGCTGCCTCCTTGCTTCCCCTCCATGCCCCCCCAGCAGACACGTTTTTCCTGATGGAGCACAGCAGCAGCAGCAGGCGGCGTGCAGCTGCGACCCCGTGGAGGGGCTTCTGCGGGCCGCAGGGCAGCTCGCATGTCCCCGCCACCGCCACCGCTCCCCCCGCGCTCTGCCCTCTGCTGCCCGTGGGCCTGCGCGCCCCCTTCCCCACGCAGCTGGAGGTGGCGTCGTCTCAGATCGACCGCACTGCCAAGGTGGGCCACATTGCATGGCACAGCACTCGCCTTGTCGCTCACCACTCACTCCCACACCCACGCCACAACGAATCACGCCCTTTGCTCCAAACGTCCTTCGCTCACCAATGAGCGGCTGTCTCCTAAGCAAGCACCACGAACTGTCCCATGCCTGCCTCACCCGCCCTTCTGCACCCCTCCGCCACTATCCCTGCCCTCCTCATCCCCATGCTGCCCATTGCAGAGGCAGCGGACGCAAGGCGCCATGCTGGCACGGCAGCACAGCCAGGAGGCTGCAGAGCAGGTGAGAGCGCACGCCACGGGTACTTTCTCAATACCATGCCGTTCCCGCCTATCCCGTCGCTCCAATCTGCTGTCTTCTCGTGCCGTCCTTGCATGCATTCATTTGCAGCCTAAACTCATCCGCCTATGGTGCTTCCCGTGCCGCTCATACCAGTGCTGTCCAACCTCGCTCCTCGCCCCTGGCCCCTCATCGCTGCTCCCAGCTGCACAATCTCAGGGCCAGGCGGTTCTTCCTGCTGCTCAACCACCCACTGTCGCACCGACCCCCACCACCACCTTCCCTGTCTCGATCGCTCTCACGCACACACGCCCAATCACCAGCGGCCGTGCCTGTATCACCCTCAGGGTCACAACCCCAAGCAGTGACGGCACCAAGCTCGCAACAACCGATGGCAGTATCCCCCTCCTGGTCACAGCCACGGTCCCCATCGTTCTCCTCCTCCCCAGCGGCCATGGCAGAGAGTGCTGCGCCCACCCACCGCTTCTGCCAGCCTCTCTCCTTTGTACTCATCTCCTCCACCGCCTCCCACACCCCACCTCCCACCTCAACCCCCTCCGCCTTCCCCTCTCTCGCCCCTCCAGCTGCCCCGGCCGCCCTGCCTGCACCTGCCACTGTGCCTGCCACTCCCACAGGCAACGCGAGGGAGCTGTACTCTCACGTCAAGGCGTTCCTGGCCGGGCGAACTGGGGGCATTGGCAGTGGGGACGGCAGTGAGGAGGGCGGTGGGGACGGTGGTGGGGACGGTGGTGGGGATGGTGGTGGGGACGGTGGTGGGGAGGGTATTAAAGAGGGGAGTGCGGAAGGCAGTGGGGAAGGCAGTGGGAAGGAGGCGGTACAAGGTGTGTGGCGTGTGGTGCGGGCATGCGGGGTGGAGTCAGCAGAGGGGCTGAGTGGCGTGGTGGACGAGAGGGGATGGACCGCCATGCACGTGGCTGCTCGCAATGGCGACTCCCCCGTGGTCAGTCTCACATGCCTCCCTGCCCGCACCTGTCCTGCGCACACGTTGCTCTCCATCCTACGAGCCTGCACCTGTGTGCACTCCTGAGCATACGCTTGTTCCACTCTCACACTGCTTGGTTTCCTCTCCCGCCTATCGCTCCTCCATGCATGTGGCTGCAGCTGCAGGCGCTGTTGCACATGGGCATGCCGGCGGGGGTGTGCAGCACACGCAACGCCACCACGCCACTGCACGTGGCGGCGTATGGCGGCCACGTGGGCTGCATGTGCCTGCTGGCGCAGCATGGCGCGGACATCCGCGCTCGCACTGTTGGCGGCTGTGAGTGGATTCACATGAGATGGTTGACAGTGCTGTGCGTGTCTCATTCTCCACCCAGCATCCTTTCCTTTCCCTCTTGCCTTCACCTGCTGTGCCATTGCTTCCGGAGCCGCTTTCCTCCTCCCGGTATCCTGCCGCCTCCTGTCCTCCACCCTCCGCCCACTGGCCTCCTTTCTATCCCTCCGCCTTCTCTCATCCACCATCCGCCCTCCACTCTCCATCCTCCGCCCTCTCCCTTCCCTCAGGGACTCCGCTGCACAATGCAGCGAGCCAGCAGCAGTGGGAGGCGGTGAGGTGGCTGGCACAGCAGGGAATAGAGCCGGCAGAGGTGGAAGCAGCAGGAGCCAACCCCAAGGCGGACAAGCTGCCCGCTCACATCATGGCAAGGGCGGTGCAGATAGTGCGGGAGGAGTACGAGAGGCGCGCAGGCCAGGGGGAGGAAAGGGGGTATGGATTTGGGGAGGAGGGTGGTGCGGGTGCGAGCTGGGTGGATGAATTCCTAGTGCTCGATGATCACCTTGATGTTGTATGATATGATTGCCTGCTCCTACTGCTCAGTGGTTCAAACGCATGAGGAGGTGGGAGAGGCAGGATGAACAGACAATGCAACACTTGCAGTACCGGTCAGGTCACCCATGTTGCAACTTGGAATGCACATGCACCAGGGCTGATTTTATCAGGGTAATTACCCTGATTTCAGGGTGATTACAGGCCTCTCAACTGCTGGGCCCTGCAATTTCAGTTTTTTTAACTTGTGAACTCTGATCCAATCAGACAAGTTACTTAACTAACCTTGAAATCTTATAACTAGACTCAGAGTAGTGTACTTGCGGACTATGTCTATACAGAGTATGCGTTCGGTGGACCCTGAATGCGAGGGTATCGGGACGAAGGTTCCTCGAAGTTTCCTTTCGATAACCCCCCCCCTGTGCGTAATCATTACTTCGCGTGGCCCCATGTGAGGTACCCCGTTCACGCGCTGGACTGACGTAATAACGACACCGAATTCCAACACCGTGCTGTAAAGACAGCTGTCAACAGTGACAACGCACCCAAATCTATGATACGTTGTTGCCACGCGCACCTCGCAGTGCACAGCATGCCTCTGCCATTCGCCAGAACGGCATGTTGACAGTATGCGTTGGCAGCTAAGCAGTCCTTTAATGAATTCGGCCGTGCATCTACGGCCGAATTCATTGACGAATGTTGCCATCAACCTTGTGGCATCGCGCCGCGGTGGTTTCGTGATGACCCCGCCATCTCCAATCTTCCTTTCCTTCCCCCTACCCAGAGCCAGGCTTCCTTCGCTTCCTGCTTTTCGTTCAGTATCACACTTTCCTCTCGCTCCATCTTTCCCCTAGCTCGCCGCCATGGAGGCCCTGCCGGCCGACGAAGATGATCCTCAGACTGGCCCTGACGAGCCACCTTTACCGGCGAAACCGACAGCGCAAGCCTTGCCGGAGAAAGCATCAGATGATCCCCGGTCTGGGCTCGATTTTCTTAGAGCTACCGGTGCTCCGGTGACACCAGAACCTCCTAGGTCTACGGTTCATGACTCTGCTGCTAGAGTAACCCCTACTCCTTCTGATTCTCCACATCCTGTCGCCTTCACTCTACCCCCGGCTGTTGCTTCTTGCAGCAAAGATCCCCCACCGCCATCGCCTAGCCCCACTCCAAGCACGGTGCGTGTGTCTGTTGGCCCGCCGTCGGCTTCTTCCACTCCCAAGCGAGCGCGAAATGGGAAGTGGGCGCAGAGTACTCTGGTCGTCGGAGGCCGCCGTATTCCACCGCCTGACAATGACAAGCCGGCAGATCCTCCACCGAAAGAAGCTGAGCAACCGGAGGAAGTTGACATCCCTGTGCGCGCGGATACCGGCTCGCCCGCACTCACCAAGATGCAGCTGCGAGAGCAGGTGTACCTTGAGGCGAGTATTAACTACGAGACGAAGTGGTCGCAACACTTTTCCTGGCTGGTGTTTGGGAAGACCAAGGACGGTTTTCCATACGTGAAGTGCTCCATCTGCATGTCGTACGCGAAGGGGAACACGAGGTACGCCATGCAAGGTGACGACGGTGGCCGTGACTTGCAGACGCAGTCGTTCAGGGCGCACGAGCATACGGACGCACACAAGGCTGCGGTGAATCGGCAGTTGAAGCTTGCGGCGGGCATCCGCGAGGGCCAGCAGGCGATTTTTGACTTCATCAACTCCGACGTCGAGGGGCGGCGCGCGATTCGTCTCATGCGGTCTACGCAGTTCCTGTGCCAGTGCGACGCGCCGATTAGCATGTTTCCGAAGCTGATGCGGCATCTTGCGGAGCAGGACACGCCAGACATTCCTCGACAATCTTACGGCGTGTATCTCACACGGTATTTAATCTTACCGTTAGATTGCAGCTGGACATATGTGACGTGTGGTTTTTTTATTACGATCCTGACCATTTTATTCTCCTCTGTGCAGATACGGGTTCCAACAAATGGTTCACAGCATCAGTACATACCTCACTCGGGTCCAGATGGACCACATCCTGGCTTCCCCCTTCCTGGGCATTCAGTGCGACGAGAGCACAGACCGAACGCGAGGGAAACACATGATTGTGTACCTTGCGTTTTTGAAGAATCGCCAAATCGCATGCGAGTTCTTTACATTGCTGACGGTTGAGCGGTGTGATGCAGGGTCTCTGTTCGAGGTGCTTCTGAACCATCTCCGCTCCGCAGCCGTCGATGTGTCCAAGATCGTCGGCATCAGCACGGATGGTGCGTCGGTCATGACCGGGAAAGAAAACGGATTGGTGGCGCGTCTTCGGGAACACGTTCCGCACCTGTTTTCATGCCACTGCATCGCCCACCGGTGTGTATCAAGTTTTCTAGTTGGTGTGGTTTTCTACGTATAAGATTAACCAATTACCTCTTGATTTGTATTCCCTGCATCCTACAGTGAGGCGTTGGCTGTGAAGGACGCCGCTGCGTCAAACGAGGACCTTGGCATGGTCGACAAGGTGGTGCGCACAGTGGCGACGCTTCTCGGAAACTCAAGCGTGTGGAGTCAGCGCTTCAAGTACCTTCAGCGAGTGATCTACCAGACAAACCTCGAGGTCCAAGGAATCCACACGGTTCGATGGCTGTCACGAGGTGATGCGGTGCGCAGGCTGTGCAAGGTCCTCGACGCTTGCATCGTGCTGCTCTGGGAGCACAACCACAAGGCCTACGAGATTGTGACGTGCTACAAGTTCCAATTCTGTTTGTTTTTCCTGGCCGACATTCTGGCCGACATGAACGACCTCAACCGCTGCTTCCAGAGGCGTGAGGTGAGATTGAATGCTAGTATAATGTTGAGATGGGAAGTGTAATCCTACACTTTTGCTAATCCTACTCCCTGTTGTTGATTGCATGTGTGACAGCTGGATGTGACTGAGATTTCGAAGACTATTGAGTCCACCACGGGTGACCTGACGGAGCGCTACTTGACGACAAACAAACCGTTCGGGGGCGAGGGCAAGAGCTGGCTGGTAAACTTCCTCAAGGTCCACAAGGAGGGTGGAGGCAAGCAGGTCCGGGTTCGAGGCGTGGACGGAGAGGGACGCCCAATCAACCACCTCTACACCATGCATGAGAGGAAGCTGAAGGGCCACAAGCAGGGAAGCACCTACGCAGACTGCGTGAAGCTGTGCCGCCAATTTGCCCGCGACTGCGTGGACAACCTGAACGAACGGCTGGATGACCTTGGGAAGCTGGGCCCGACGAAGCTGTTCCGGGCGGGGAAGTGGCCGAAGATCAAGGCCCAGCGAGAGAAGAAGTGCAAGGAGTGGCTGCACGGATGCAGCAGGCTCTTCCGCCACAAGCTGCCGGGATTCGACCTCAAAGCAGCAGAGAGGGACCTCCCGACATTCTGCGCGATCATGGAGTCACACCATGAGATGGAGAGCTTCGCCCAGGGCCTTCACAACTTTCTTGGGAGCGTAGACTCAAAGAGGTAGGCCACTGCATGCGTACGAGTTTTTTACCTATTTGATTTTTATGTTGGTGATTATTAACATGTTGAATTCCAACTTGTTGATTTATTAACTTGTTGATACTTTTACATGTTTTGTTGTGTTTCGAATGTGCTTGGCAGGAGATGGCCCAGCCTCATCCTGCTGTGGCAGGCGCTGGCTGTGCTTCCCCTCTCCACCGTGGAGTGCGAGAGGGGGTTCTCCAGGCAGAACATCATCAAGTCCTGGGTGCGTGGAGCGCTCTGCAACGCGCGTCTGGGGGAGCTGATGCAGATATCGCTCCTGAAGTACGAGATCGAATGGCCGGAGGCACTGGAGGTGTGGAGGTCCATGCGGAGGAGGCGCACTGTGAAGAGCCTGAAGCTGGCCGTGGCAGAGAGGGAGAGGAAGGGGAAGCAGAAGGAGGGTGAAGCTGTGGCTGCTGGAACTGCGGGGGAGAACGAGGACGAGGGGGAGGAGGAGGAGGAGGACGATGAAGTGGAACAGGACTTGGGCGACGATCAGGAGGTCGTGGAAGAGGAGGACAACTCTTTCCTGTCAGACGATGAGGACGTAGAGGAGGTGTACTTCATTGACAAACCCGTGCACTAGATAGTGTAGTGTAGGAAAGTTGAAGTTGTATCAGTCATTTTGAAGTGTAGTGCAATGTTAATAGCAACCCTGATTTTGAGCTGTGAACCCTGACGGATCAGACTAGCATTTTGTTCGAGACTGAGCTATCAGGGTAGCTTCCCTGTGAAAAATGTGCGATCATAATAGAGGGGGAAATTTTTTCCAGAAAACAGGGTGGCCTAAAACGAAACGTCAGCCCTGACATGCACCTGATCTGAATGCATGGAGATGATACTTGGAAGGTCAATATCATCATTTCACAATTAACAACATATGATATCAGGTCGTGTAATGGTCTAACGCGGTGAACACCAATAGCGGTTCCGCCACTGCTCGTGTTTTGCGTACATCGCGTGAGTGAGAACACAAACACTCCTTCGTGGTACTCAAGACGAGTGGAGAGAGCGGCACGCACGCTAGCGTCTGATTTAACGTGCGATGCGGAATCAGCTGGAGGAGCCGTCTCCTCTGTCGCCTGCGGATTTCGATCCCACCGCGCACGCTTATCAAGGCAAGCGCCGCTTGAATCGCGGCGCAGAGCGAGCCAGCGCGGATGGCGGAGCGCGGCAGTCGGCGGAAGGGGATGGCGATGGGGGGAAGCGACCGAGGAAGAGGCGGTGGGATGGCGGGAAGGGTGGCGATGCGCGCGCTGTGACAGCCGCGGACGATCCCCTTGCGCCGATGAGTGGCGCGCCGATGGCTGCTCGCGAAGGCGGAGGTTTGGCCGCTGGAGGTGCGGACGGCAGCAGTGACAGCGCGGACGGCAGCAGTGACGACGCGGATGTAGAGCGTATTGAGAGTGGCGGCAGTGGTGGTTGCATTGCAGGAAGAAATCGGAGAAGGCTGAGAGGCGAGCGAAGCGACGAGCGAGAGTGAAAGAGAATGCTGCAGCACGGCGGGGAGTGGGGGTGGGGGTTGCAACAGCGCCTCCAGGCGCAGGAGGGGCAGTTAGCAGCGGTATCATTAGCAGCGGTATCATTAGCAGCGGTGGCGGCAGCGGCGGCGGTGGCGGCGGTGGTGGTGTGAGTGTGGAGGAGCTGACTGCTGTGTTTGGGCCGCGTGCTGGCGCTCTTGTGGCGCGCGCTGCTCTCCCCCACATCCTTGCCGGTGAGGCGCTCTGGCGCATAAAGGAAAGGGGGATGGGGAGAAGATGGCGGAAGGGGGGGGCACCTGGGTGAGTCAGCCCAGCCAAAGGCAGCGAGCGTGAGAAGCAGGCTGCTTGTTCACACGCCATGCCGGTGCTTGTTCACGTGCGGTGCTTGTTCACCATGCTGGTCGGAAGGGGTGACAGCCATGCTGGGACCCTCGCCCTCACTCTCTCCACCCCTGTTTCCTCCACCCCTGTCTCCTCGACCTCCCTCCCCGGCAACTTGTCCTTGCTGCCAGGCACGGATGTGCTCATGACGAGCGCCAACAAGTTCCCCAACGCGGCTTCCTTCCTCGTACGCCTCCCATTCCATTCCATTCCACTGCGCACCTTGCTGCCTGCACCGCTTCACATAATGGAATGCAGCCGCTTCGTTTGAAAATATCAATCCATTGCTAGTCGTTTTGCTTTTCATTTGAACCTTAAACAAACTCTGCAAGCAGCACCCCATGCTGCCTGCTCTCTCCCCAATCACCCCGCGCTTTCCAATCCAACCACCAGTTGCCACACCTTCACACCCTTCTTCACCGCACGCCACCACTTCTTCAAGCCAGTGGTTATGCCTATGTAGAGATCCTCTTTCTGGCTGTTTCAAACTACGCCTGCAGTAGGTTTGTAAGCCAAGTCCAGTTGCTTATAGCGAAGCGTTTTAAACTGCAGCAGCAAGGGTGGACGCTCAGATACTGAAGATGCGGAAGGAAGGAGGGCAGTTGAGAATGCTTCCTTGCCAGGTGAAGGGGACTCATGGCAGGTGAAGGGGACTCATGGGGACTCATGGCAGGTGAGGTGATTGCCATTTGTGATTGCCATTTGTGATTGCCATTTGTGATTTCCATTTGTGATTGCCATTCTTGATTGCCATTCATGATTGCCATTTGTGATTGCCATTTGTGATTGCCATTTGTGATTGCCATTTGCGATTGCCATTTGTGATTGCCATTCGTCGTGATTGCCATTCGTGGTTGCCATTCGTGATTGCCATTCGTGATTGCCATTTGTGATTGCCATTTGTGATTGTCATTTCTGATTGCCATTTGTGATTGCCATTTGTGATTGCCATTTGTGATTGCCATTTGTGATTGCCATTTGTGATTACCATTTGTGATTGCCATTTGTGATTGCCATTTGTGATTGCCATTTGTGATTGCCATTTGTGATTGCCATTTGTGATTGCCATTTGTGATTGCCATTTGTGATTGCCATTTGTGATTGCCATTCGTGATTGCCATTCGTGATGCCATACTGGGCCTGCATTGATGCGGTGTGTCCCCGTGGCATGGCATGGCATGGCATGGCAGGTGATGGCATGTCCATACAAGAACATCAACGATTATCTGGAGCGCCATGCGTCTCTTGGACCCCAGCTGCAGCACGTCACGGCAAGTGAATAGAATGTAGCATGTCGGGGCAAGTGAATAGAATGTAGCATGTCGGGGCAAGTGAATAGCATGTAGCATGTCGGGGCAAGTGAATAGAATGTAGCATGTCGGGGCAAGTGAATAGAATGTAGCATGTCGGGGCAAGTGAATAGAATGTAGCATGTCGGGGCAAGTGAATAGAACATAGCATGTCGGGGCAAGTGAAAATTATATAGCAACTCAGCGAACTCAACGCAATGCATATGGTCAAGGCATGGCATTCTGCTGTTTGTTGTACTCTAATGTGCTGAGCTAGCCGTTACCCCCTTTGGCTGCCCATTTCAACTTCCAATCATGTCCACATTCTGCTTGCTTATTGCCACCCCTGCTCCATTCCATCTGTTCACACTATCATCGCTGGGATGGCACATCAGCTGCTGGTGTCCTGATGGTGTCCTGCACAGAGCATTTCCTTAGCGCAACGACCCATAAGACAAGATGTGAGGTATATGTGAAGCTGCATTATCCTTCTTGACAAGATGTTAGCAGGATAAAGCACATTCATGGATCCTCCTTGTGCATTCAGGGAAAGATTGTAGCTACAAGAAACAAGCACACACAGTGCAGTTACGATTCCTCACGATACACTCAGGCAAACATCAGTCCCCATGAGCAGTTACGATTCCTCACGATACACTCAGGCAAACATCAGTCCCCATGAGCAGTTACGATTCCTCACGATACACTCAGGCAAACATCAGTCCCCATGAGCAGTTACGATTCCTCACGATACACTCAGGCAAACATCTACGCTTCAAATTATCCCCCTCATGTACCCCTTCCCTTCATGAAGTGCAGTCAGCCTGCATAGCAGAGGGTTGGACTGGTGTGCCCATTCCACCTCCCTCTACTGTCTCTCCTGGCCATGCGTCGAGATTAATGAACGTATCCGCCAGACTAACATCGCCCCTACTCGTACCCTCCCATCCCCATGTGCTCGCCCCTCCCCCGCTGCACCTCCCGCACAATGCACACCGCCTGGGTCATGAGATGCTCAGGCAGCTTGTTAGGCCTCGACAACTTGTCAAGATCTATCCCCTTCTGCGCCAACCACCTGACCCCATTCCATTTTTCCCAGTAGGCTGCATTGTGCAACGGAGTCCCTGGGGTTGAGGAACCAGGGAAAAGTGGGGATGGAGATGGTCAGGGGCAGCAGTGGAGGAAAGAGGGGGTTTAATAGCCAATTAGAGGACTCACGCAAAAGCAACAGTCGGAAACAGGAGAGAAGTGAACGTTAGTTTCCTCATGACTCATAGCCGTACCTAGTGCGAGCATGGATGTCGGCACCATGACTGAGCAGCAGCTCCATGCTCTCCACATCCTCCGCCAGCACTGCCAGGTGCAGTGGCGTGGTGAGGGTGTCTTCGCCCAGCTCTCCCACTGACATGCCCAGCAGCATAAGCGCCTCCAGCTGCAGAGGCATACAAAGAGGGGATATCTTAAAGCTGAACGACAGAGGCAAGTGGGAGGGAGAAGACGTCCGTTGAGTCATGAGCTCACGCTGCACCCTCCTCCCCTGCATGGCCAACCACAGTGGCATGTTGCCTACAGCTGGAGGCACATGTTTTGGGCGGGATGTGTGCAGAAGAACCAGAAAGAGTCGGAAAATGTGCAAGGGGTGGAAGGGCATGCGGTGAGGTAGGAGAATGTGACAGCCCATCGCGAGTGCAGAGTGACAGAGTGCAAGCGATGGAGAAGAAAGGATCAGAGGATTAGAGAGAAGAGGGGAGGAGCAGGGAGGCGGGATGGAGAGTAGGGAGGAGGGATGGAGAGGAAGAGGGGAAAAGAGAAGCCAAGGGAGAAGGAGAGGGGGAGTTTGAAGAATGTGAGAACTCACCACAGGTGTGTTCCCTTGGCGAGCAGCAGAATGGATAAGTGTCCACCCATTCCCGTCGAAAATGTAATGCAGGTCAACATGCCTCATCCGCAGCATGGCATTCAGATCCTCCACATCCCTCTCTGACAAACGGCGCCTGCCTTCGTCTGCCAATCCATGCACATTCGCATTTGCATTCATCTGACCCTGGCTAGTCTCCTCTGCCCTTCCCACCCCCTTTCCTCGCACTCTTTCCACCACAAAACTCCAAACTTCCTTTAACAGCCTTTTGGCGTAAAGGTGGCATGGGCACTGGCAGGGACCTGAGGAGGGCGAGTGTGTGCAATATGGCGAGGGCCAGGTATGGGGGCTCCAGGAGTGGGGGTGAGACGAGAGGCTCGCAGCGGAGGGGGGTGCACAGGAGGGGGGAGCAGAAGACTGGGGTGGAGGAGCAGGGAGCATAGGAGATGAAGGTGCCGGGAAGGGGGGTGGGGTGGAAAAAGGGGCAGTGCCGTGGGGGGCCTCGGAGACGAGTGAAGAGGAGCCGGGGGCGGTGCTATTATGGGAGGAATGGATGTGTGTGGCGGCAGCAGGCAGGTTGAGCGTGGGAGTGATGGCAGGGCCAACAGGAGGTCCAGTGGCAACGACCCCGGAACAGGAGGGAGAGGTAGCAGTGGCAGCGGGAGCGGGAGCGGGAGCGGGAGCGGCAGTGGAAGTAGTGGCAAGTGCAGCAGGAGGGCGGCGGGATGGCGACAGCTTTTCATAGGCGATGTGGACGAGAACAAGTGGTTGGAAGTGGCAATCGCGTGGCTGTGACTGTGAGGACGAGCCTGCTGGTGACAAGGGCGGGGATGCTGACGACGGCCATGGCTGCGCTGCCACGCGCTGTGCTGCTGCAGGCGAGGGCGGCTGTGGCTGCAGGGTTTTTTTTAGAATTCTCAAAAGCTGCAGGGCTTTTTTGAGAATTCTCAAAAAAACCCTGCAGGCGAGGGCGGCTGTGGCTGCCACCCGAGGGCGGCTGGTGACGTGCGCCACGAGCGGTGGCAGAGTGGGAGGGGCTCGGCGAGGTAGTACTTCCACGCGCTCAGAGAGGGTGGCTGGCAGGCCGGGTGACGGATGGCAGAAATGGAAAATAAGGTGGCAGGTTTACAAGGGATCCGGCAGAGGAAATTGAGAGAAGCAGCAGCGACAGGAGACACCCTGAAGAGGAGGCAAGAACGGATGCACATGCACAACAATACCCACATGCCCCAACCTTCCACATGACATCTGCTTATTACTTACACACACACACACACACACACGCGCGCGCACCTCATGTGTCGGGCGGGACCTCTGTGTTGGGCGAATAAGCGTTGGGGAGGAAAGAGGAGCAAGGATGGAGAGGTCAACAACTCCTTCAATCTATCGGTGAGATTTGGAAAAAAGGGGGACACGGAGACATGCGGAAGTGGCGCAAGATGAGGGACGGGACGAGAGAAGAATGCGAGATGCGAAGCCAGTGGCAGACCTTGCGTGGCGAGTGCCCAGCCTGCTTGAGTCCAGCATGGCACGTGCCCAGTGTGGTGCGCAGGCGACCGTCCCGGTCCCATCTGTTGGCAGGCAGCAGTGCCTTGAAGGCGGGCGGCACAGCAACCTTGACGGGCCTTGGTGGGTAGCTTGTGCGCCCGCTGAAGCTGTTCCAGGGCGTGTTGGGGCCTCGCGTGCTGTTGCTGTCGTCTAACAGAAAGAAGGTGCCTGCCGCCATAGAGGAGTGCGCATGGGGGGTGGGCATGGTGGAGAGAGGGCATAAGGGGGTGAGCATAGCGGGGCGGACCAGAGAGTAGAGTTGAGTGCCATGGCTGCCGAGCAGCACAGCTCCGCTGAGCTCACGTTGGCAGAGAGCAGCCGAAACGACAACCACTCACCGTCGCACTCATTGCTCTCTTCCTTGCTCCCGTGTGCGTGCTGCACGCCCGTGCGCCTGCGCGCCCGCTGCGCAGCGAGCAGCGTCTTGACGGGCGGCATCTTGCAGTAGATGTCGAACACCAACTTCTTTTTGGGCCTGTGCGCGTCCGAGTCCGGCCAGTTGCACATGGCGTTCGCGACGAAGAGGCACGACGCGATGGCGTCGAGCTGCTGCTGCTCTGTTGTCGCCTCGCCAACGACGCGCGAGAGCCAATTGGAAAGATTTTCAACGCCATCATCGTCGAATGCTGCTGCTGCTGCTGCTGCTGCTGCTGCTGCTGCAGCCTCGCGTTGAGGCGCCTCAGAATCACGATAAACTGCTGCGTCGTCAAGGCTGAGATTCGAGATTTCTGCATCCATCGCCGCCCATTCGCGGCCGTCTCTTTGCTGCAACTCGTTCGCAGAACAGGAACCAAAACGTTCGGGAAACGCACTGCTAGTCTGCGTCGACGCTACTCACTGCTGTTAGAAAGCAGTGCTGATAATAATCAGGTCGTCCAAACAGCTCCAAGGAACAGCAAAAGTGGTTCCTGGCCTCCAGGCGACCATCGGCTCGCGCGTATGGCGCTCGGCATTCCCCGCTGCGCTACGGTACCGCGGCACACAGGGACGTTCAGCCTTGGCCAATCTGAGCTCAGGCTGAGCGGCGTCGCGGGCTGCAAGCATGCACGCAACACCATACTCACCGCCAAGACTGCGATCCTGCGAGACTGCGCGCCGGACATTGGGATGCTGCGCACGATGGCTCGATGCGATTCGGTGCGGCTGATGCCGCTCCATGTGCGTCGCATTCAAGGCTTTTTTTCCTATGAGGTGCGCCTGATGATTGGCATGGGTGGTTATGATGCGACATGCGCTGACGCCTCTCCACGTGCACCAAGTTCCAAGGTTCCGATGGTCGCATCTTATTTAGAAGGTGGGAGAGTGTAATGAATATGAATTCATTACTGTAGAGGCTGCTCCTAGCGAGGACAGCCCAAACACTTCGCGTCAGTTCTCAGGTTCGGCCTACACTTAGGCCCGAACCACTGCCGAGTCGCTCCGCACTAATCGCAACACATCCAAACCATGCACGTCCCGAGGTCCGCGCCAAGCACGTATTCGCCCTATAAATTCCTGCTTTATTCATTGTCTCGTCATTCTGTAATTGATCCTTTTTATAAAGTCTTCCGCGCACTCTGTTTAGTACAACTCATAACACTTAGCGAACAAGGTACCACTCTTGCGGCACAACCCTGAACCCCTCCCACACGCCCGATCAAAGCCCCGACTCCCCCACCCCAGCGCACATGCAAATCAGTCCAGTGACACCATGGCTTAGCACCGTCGAGGGGTCTCAGGTGAAGAAGACTCGATTTCTAGCGAACCCGGTCTTGATTAGAGTCGCTATCAGCGGCGCGCACCCATGGGTAGCATGGAATGTAACGCCTCTCGCGCTCGGGCTCATTCGTGCGGTGCGCGCTTGCCGCTGTGATGCGCGGATCTGAAAGTATACGGCGGATCGCGACACGTTGCGCTTACGCGTCCACGTCAGCAGTGCGGCATTGGATCGTACCTGAAAACACGCACAGCCCACGTGACCTGCTTGGCGGAATCAGCAACACGACGCATCAGCGCGCGTATAAGCTGCTCCGTTACTGTAGCGGTTCGATAGGAGCATTTCCAGGTTCTGCTAGCCCCGCTATTCCGTGGAAGCGCGATCCACGGTGGCGAGCGAGACAGTCACGGGACGGATTGACGATTGCGTTGGCATCAACAGCAGCATCAGCATCGGCATTAACGTTACCTTCAGGGTTGCCATCCCCAGCACTTCGAACGTCTGCAATACATGTTGGAGAAATGAGAAGGCAGGGTATCTGGGACGACATGGGAGACAGAGGCGGCAGGGTAGAGCAGGTGTGCCGCGTGAGACGAGTGGATTCGCGGGTGTGGCTTGTGCACGAAGCGGCGTTGATAGTAGCGAGTACGAGCTGGAGGGTGGGGACGTGGAGGGCGATGTGCCACGTGGCAGAAAAGCGAGGTTTCGTTGATGGAGACGAGGGGAAGGGGAAAAAAAGAGAGAAGGGGAAAAGGAAAAGAGGAGCGGAGGGGAAGGGGAAGAATGGAAATGAGGGAAAGGTGAAAAGAGGAGGCGAGGGGAAGGGGAGAAGAGGAGATGGGGAGAAGGGGAACGAAGCAGATGAAAGGAAGGGGGGTGAGGGGCAGGAGCAGGCAGGTGGTGCAGGCGATGGGAGGAAGGGGAGTGCAGGAGTGGTGGGTGCGGAAGCCGAGGGCGCTGATGAGACGAGGCTGCACAGCCGGCGGAGGAGGAGGGGGAGGCCACGGAAAGTGGTCTGTGAGCGTGGTGCTGCTGTCCCATCTGCCGGTGGTGGCAATGAAGCGGACGGGCGGGGTGGTGGCAACGATAGCGGTGCTGGTAGGAGGGATGGCGGTGTGAGGGAGCAGCAGCAGGATGAGGTGGTTGGTGCTTCCGAGTTGGAGGAGCTCCACCATGCCATCAGCAGCAGTGCAAGCTCTCAACATGCTAGCGCCGCTGCCCTCAACACCTTCTCCTCCACCCTCACGCCCAATTCCACTCCCATACCCACTCCCCCCTCCTCGCCCCCGCCGTCGCTACACGTGCAGTTCCAAGACCTCTACTCCACGCATCTCGCGCACATCGCCCCGCCCTTCGCCTCTCACCGTGCCACGAGGGACAACGCCATGGCGCTGCTCGCCCTGCACCCCTCGCCTCACACCCTCGCTGCCATCTTCCGCGCCTGCTCTTCGCTCTTCCTCGTGCCCCTCACCCACCGCATCCGGGCAGCTCTTGAGATCTTTTCTGCCCACGGGCTGCCCGAGTCGCTGTTTCTGAGTGTTATCCGGCGGGTGCCCGAGCTGATTTTGGATGCCCGGCTGGATGACGTCAGCAGCAATGGCAGCAACAGCAGAACCATTAGCAGCAGTAGAACCAATAGCAGCAGCAGCAGCATTAGCAGAACGAGCAGCAGTGACAGCAGCAGCAGCAGCAGCAATGACAGCAGCAACAAGAGCAGTGACAGCCATGAGATTGACTCCACTCCAGAGCAACAACACAGTTTGACTCACCTGCAGCAACCGCTGCTTGACCTACAGCACCAGCAGCAGCAACACGCACTTGTACCTCTCTCTCACACCCACAAGTCTCTTCCCAGCGCCGCTCCCTCCCACCTTCCCTCCAACGATCTCCCCCACCTGCAGCAGGTGCTGCACTTTCTCTTCCTGCACCTCCCTCCCCCCACTGTCGCCAAACTGCTGCACTCTGCTGCCTGCCGTGTCTTCCGCACGCCCCTGCCCTCCCTCCTCCTACACCTCTCTGCAATGCACTCCATCCTCGCCCCCCCTCACTCCCTCCTCTTCCGCTACCCCCTCGCCCTCCGCTTTTCTCCTGAGATCCTCAAACAGAGGCTTTCGCGGTTGGCTGAAATTTTGCCGCTGACAGAAGCGCAAATGGGGGTGGGAGGTGAAAACGGAAGTGGAGGAGGGGATGGAGAGGGGAAAGTGAGAAGGAAGATAAGACTTGACTCTGCCTCTCTTCTCCCGATCCCTCCTCTCGATCCTTCTCTTTCATTCACGGCGGATCCAGCAGTTCTCTCCCTTGTGCACAGGCAACCACACATCCTCCATGCCAGTAAGGTAACCATGCAGGAGGTGGTAACCACACTCACCACTCTCTTTGGCCCACAAGGCACCTCCTACGTGCTCTCCCGCCACCCAGCCCTGCTCACTGTGTCCCCTCGCACAATAGAAGAGGCCATGTTCGGACTTATTGACATTTTTGGCGAGGAAGTTACCCTAGATATGATTCAGCGCGAGCCGGGGATTATACAGGTCCGGCATAGCACACTCCGGCCCAAGATTGATTTTATTCTTGAGGAGATGATGAGGAGCAAGGAGGACATCAGGGTGTGGCCGAACGTTCTGCTGCGCAGCCTGCCGCGCATGCTGGTGCCTCGGTACTTCCTGGTGACTAGGAAGGACTGCCATGCCGCCAGGGTGCTGTCTCTGCCGTGCCTCTTCAGCAACTCTAACGTGCGGTTCAGGCGGAGATGGGAGGTCAGTGATGCGGACTGGAGGAAGGCGCTTATGGTCGGAGAAGTGTGGGAAGCCAGGAGGAAAGGGGAAGTTGGGTTGGCTCGTGCAATTCAGTGATCCAGGGTTCTTCCTCGTGCAGGAAGGTCAATTTAGGGGCGTGTATCCGGGGGAATATGGTACATGATGTCAAAATGCCTTACATGTTTAGGCCAGGGTCATCCCTAGGTTTTGAGCCTGCCTGATGCATCAGATGGCGTGGGTTTTTCTGTCTAATGCATCAGAATTTCCTTCAAAGCATTTTTGCTGAATCAGAAAAATTTAAAATTCAATTTCTGATTGATTTTCTTAGAGCCCTCCTCATTTCAGAGTGTTCTGTACCTGGAATTGCAAAGAAGAACGGCGACTTCTGGTCTCAAACTCGGATGTTTGCCATTGAGAAGCTAATTGCGACTAACTAGGCTACTAGGTAACGCCCAAGATAACCGGCCAAACTGTATTTACACATAAAACTCCCTTCTACATTGGAACTCGGTATCAGACGGAACCAGAACAGGTCCCTGCGTAGGACCGCTTCATTAGGGCGCACCGTTAGTTTCGTTCTGCCCAGTTCCTTCCTGCCCTACCCGGAATTTGATAGTTACTGCCCTGCCCTACCAGCGTCCCGCACGCTGCCCGGCCCGAGCTACCCCGTGCGCTCTGCCCTGCCCTGCGCGCGACCCGCTAGCTGCCCAGCGCGTGACCCGCACGCTGCCTCGCACGCGCCCTGCTCGCGCCCTGCTCGCGCCCCCTGCACGCGCGCTGCGCTGCCTGAGCCCTGTGCGCGCACTGCCCGCACGCTGCCTGCGCTGCCCGCACGCTGCCTGCGCTGCCCACGCACTGCCTGTGCTGCCCGCACGCTGCTTGCACTGTCCGCGAGCTGCCTGTGCGCTGCTTGCACCGCCCCGCGCCCTGCCCGCGCGCTGCTTGCTCTGCCCGCGCGCTGTCTGCAAGCTGCCTGCGCCGCCCACGCACTGCAAGTGCGCTGCCCCTGCCCCGTGCGCCGCCCGCGCTCTGCCGGCACAGCCCGCGCACTGTCCTGTGCCGACTGCGTGCGCCCTGCCTGTGCTGCACCTGCTGCTAAGCTGCTGCTGCCACCCGCGCCGAGCCGCCCTGCCCTGCCCGAGCCACGCCGCCCTGCCGAGCCGTGCCACCCTGCCTGAGTCACGCCGCCCTGCCGAGCCGCGCCGCCCTGCCGAGCCGCCCAGCTGATCCGCCCTGCCAAACCGCCTAGCCGAGCTGCCTTTGCTGCCACGCCTGCCGCTGCTGCTGCCACTGCTGCTGCTGCTGCCGCTGCTGCTGCTACTGCTGCTATTGCTGCTGCTGCTGCTGCTGCTGCTTCTGCTCCTACTGCTACTGCTGCTACTGCCTACTATGGCTACCATTACTGTCCTTACCTTTGACGCGGAGGGCCGCCCGATTAGGTTGACACCTGGCTCGAGGATCTCTGTTAGAGCATACGTCCGGGTCCTGCTGGGGCGTGAGTGTCTCCTGCTGGCATGGCTGCTGCTGCTCTCCAGCCCTAGAGCCTCCGCCGCCACGAACTGCACCCCCAGTCGCCGTCCCAGAGCTGCCACCCTTACCAGCTCCACACCGACCGCCACCCGAGCCCCCTCCGCCCACCCCACCGCCTCCACCTCCCCCGCCACCTCCACCGCCGCTACCACCGCCTCCACCGTTTTCCCATGTCCGGCAGCCCCTTCCGGCTCACTCATAGGTCTCCACCTCCCCTCGTTCACTACGAACTTGGTGAGTAACTTTGTCCTCCAGGATTAGTTGGACACTACCACTACTCCTCGGGGTGAGCTCGTGGCGATCCGTACGGACTCACGGACTGGCGCCCATCTCGCCACGTTCACTGGAAGACCCGGGTCTGGCCTATACACACTGACCACTGAGTCCGCACAGGTAGCTGCATCAGGTTAGGTAGCTGCGTCCAGCCAGTAAGCTGCGTCTAGCTCGTGTTGGATACTCACGCACCCGTCTCTCCTCTGGCACCACCGTCTTGATCACCCCTCCCTGCCGCATGTGCGTAGCATACACTCTCGTCTCCTTGTCTCTGGCCTCCCCAGGTCCCTGCCCCCGCTCCCGCGCTCGCTTGCACCGCCGTGCCTTCCCTGCGTCGAAGGGTGGCAGCGTGCCGTGCCTCACTCCTCCTCGTTTCCTCCGACCACTGCTCCTCTGCAGACTCTCCACATGGACGTGTGGGGCTGCGCCCGCGTCCGTGGACAGGACCACAAGTGCTAGTTTCTGCTGGTTGTTGACGACTACATGCGCTACACCACGATCTTCCCCTTGCAGAGCAAGGCGGATGTCAGCGGTGTTTTGATCCCCTGAATCTGCACTGTTTGTCGCCAGCTGAGTGCACGGTTTCAGCAGGACCTTCAAATCCTGCGCCTGCAGTCTGACAGAGGCGGTGAGTTTTCCTCCGCTTCCTTGAGGCCTTTTGTTGTTAGGAGGGCATCACCCAGCCGTTCCTGCTTCGGGCCTCTCCACAACAAAATGGGATTGCTGAGTGTCGCATTGGCTTGATCATGGAGATTGCTTGCACCTCCATGATCCATGCGGCTGCTCCCCATTTTTTGTGGCCATTTGTGGTCCGATACGCCGGGCATCAACTCAACCTCTGGCCCCGTGTTTCTATGCCAGAGACCTCGCCTACACTGCATTGGATGGGGGAGGTTGGCGATGCGTCGGCGTTTCGGGTCTGGGGCTCGCTTGCCCTTGTCCACGATCCTATCGCGGGCAAGCTCTCTCCTCGCACTCTCTACTGTGTCTTTCTTGGCTTTCCCACCGACGCCCCGCCCTAGCAGTTTTACCACCCTGCCTCGCGCCGCATCCTGTCCTCCCATGACGTCACCTTTGACGAGCTGGTTTGCTTCTACCGTCTCCACCCCCACACGTCTTCTCTTGTCCCCACGCTGCCCCTCGATCTGGTTCCAGGTCCCCCCCCGGTAGACCCCCTCCCCCCACAGGGTCCTGCTCCCTCGGGTGTGTCTCAGGTCGACCCACCCCCCTTGGTTGAGCCTTTGGAGGTCTCCTCTGACACCTGTGGCACAGCTGAGGGGGGTGACGCTGCTGCTGACGACACAGTGGCCACTCGCCGCTCCCCACGCTTGGAGAACCCTCCTAGTTTTCCGCCTCGACCATCTTCGTCTCCTCTGCAGCCTGTTGCTGTAGACTCCGGTGCTGCTGGGGGTGGTGACAATGGAGGTGCCGACACAGTAGGTGCTGGTCCTGGGGGTGCTGACTCTGGGGTGCTGAGTCTGGGGCTACTGGTTTTGAGGGTGCTGCTTTCGGGGGTGCTGCGAGTCCTAGTAGTGGTGGTGTCGTGGGTGCTCCTGCTGGAGTTTCTGGCGTTCGATAGCAGCAAAAGACTTGTCGGTAGGAGACTCTCTCGTCGCAATAGCTTCGCAGCGAGGTCGCTCCGGTGGTGGTGCTTGGGTTACTGGTGCTAAAGCTGCTCGTGCTCGAGCTGCTGGTACTGGAGGTGCTGGAGGTAATGGAGCTAGAGGTAATGGAGTTGCTGGAGCTGCTGGTGCTGGAGGTCCTGGAGCTAGAGGTACTGGAGGTACTGGAGCTGGAGGTGCTGGAGCTTGCAGGAGTTGGAGGTTCTGCAGGTGCTGGAGCTGGAGGTGCTGGAGGTACAGGAGCTGCTGGTGCTGGAGGTGCTAGAGCTGGAGGTACTGGAGCTACTAGCAATACTAGGACTGGAGGTGCTGGTGCTAGAGGTACTGGATCTGGAGGCTGTGGTCCTGTGGGTACTGCGCACCGGCGACCGTTCTTCTTCCCCCAGCCGCAGTCGTCACTACCACCACCTGACCCAGTGCTTCGCCAGATTCTTAGTCTTCAGTCTTCCACGGGCCTTACTCCACCTCTACTGTGTCCTCCGCCTGACCAAACATAGTCGCCGTTACTGCCTCACTCCCCTATGCCTGCTCCTTCTCCTTACCCTGAGCAGACAGACTCCCAGACAGAGCGTCGCGAGCCTGCGTCTCGTCTTGCCTCACCTGTTCGCACTGTTAGTTGTGCTCGTCGTATTCGTCCTCCACCAATCCCAAGCACACACACTATGGCACTTCGTCCTTCCTCTGTTCCACAGCGTGTTGCTCTGCCGTCTCCTCCGGAGTCCTCTCTTTCTGACGCTCCTAACCCTGAGTCCGACCTTGCTCGTGCTAATAATCCTACTGTCACGCGTTTCCTGGCCACCCTTGTCACTGATACTTCCTTTGAGTCTACTGGTGCGTCTGCCTTAGTCACTGAGCTTGTCGACTTTGCTGCTACCTGTCGTCTCAACTACTTCGCAAGTCTTCTTACTAAGTCTGAGTCTGGCTGTCCTCCGTCCGTCGGGGGTGAGCTTGCCCTTGATAGTGACGTCCCTTAGGATAGGCAGTTTGAGACCGAGTGCCTCGCGGCTGCTGCCTCATCTCGCTTCCATGCTGCTTTGCCCTGAGGGAGACCCGGATTCACTTGACATCCCGACCCCGCACTCTTACGCAGAGGCGATCACGGGCAAGTAATCCTCTCAATGGCAGACAGCCATGGATGCAGAGATGGCTTCCTGGAAAGTCCACAAGCACCTACGTCGACGCAGTTCCCCCTCCTGGGGCGAACATAGTCAATGGCATGTGGTTTTTCAGAGTGAAGCAACCCCTGGGTTCTCCGCCTGCCTTCAAGGCGCGTTACGTTGTACGAGGCTTCAGTCTAGGACAGGGGGTCGACTTCTTTCAAACCTTCTCCCCCACCCCAAAGATGACCACTCTTCAGATGTTACTGCACGTTGCACCACAGCGTGACTACGAGCTCCACTCGCTTGACTTCAGCACAACTTTCTTGCAGGGCAGCCTTCATGAGGAGATCTAGCTGCGCTGCCCATCTTGCTTCACTGGGTCGTTTCTCAAGGGTACCCAGTGGAGCCTTTGGCGGCCAGTCTACGGTCTCCGTCAAGCTACCCCCGAGTGGCACGACACACTGAGGACTACACTTGCGGCTCTTGGGTTTGCTCCTTCGACTGCTTACCCTTCGCTGTTTGTGCGCACCAACCCTTTCCTGCCGCTTTTGTACACCCTTTTGTACATCGA